GCTTATCACTTCCAGAGTCGCGGAGCTTATCACTTCCAGAGTCGCGGAGCTTATCACTTCCAGAGTCGCGGAGCTTATCACTTCAGAGTCGCGGAGCTTGTCAGGCTTATCACATGCAGTTTTAGCTACCTTGTCTGTGTCATCATGCTGGACAACACCTAAGTGAGATGGTGTGCATATAAATGAGACTCTGAAACTCTTGCTCTTTGCATTAATACTGTTGTTTACAATGAATGTTACAACATTCCAAGTATCTATTTTGCATGTTGGGTTTTTAAGGGCCTGAAGAGATGACTTTGAATCACAGAAAATTACTCCTCTATTGTTCTTCAGTGAGTTAGTGGTAAGTTGTTGTGCAGTTAATTCTGCATGTGTGGAGCTAATTATAATTAAGCCAGTTATTCACTTGTGGTTGGTGTACATATGTTGTCCTTGTATATTCTACAGGCTGCTGCAGTGTGACCTGTTGACATTTGAACAGACTCATCACCGTAAGCATAGTGCTCGTGAGGCCATAAGTTATTTATAAAGGAATCAATTGTTTCAAGTGTTGTTGCTTTCAAGAGTGCTTGATCTGCCTTGCTCTTTTTGCAGATGAGCCACGAAGTGTGTACTCACCTATTTGTACTCAACTATTTGTGCCTGCAGGATCGAGCATGGGCTCTTGGATCCCACCTTTCTAACCGCCAGTTCTTTAAAGCAATGAGTCCTACTTCGCTATCATATCTAGTTTTAAAACTATGAATAGTGTGTGTGTGTGTGTAATTACCTCAGTAATTACCTAAGTGTAGTTACAGGATGAGAGCTACGCTCGTGGTGTCCCGTCTTCCCAGCACTCTTTGTCATATAACGCTTTGAAACTACTGACGGTTTTGGCCTCCCAGTCTATTGCCTTTAAAGTTGATGTCCCCTAGTACCAACAATCGGGATTTATCTTTGTCAGCTCTTACCATAATCTCTCTCATGACCATTATGAGGCCCTCACGTTTGTCATCCAGTTCTTCCTTTGTCCACGTGTTGCCTGCTGGTGGGCTGTAGGCATTTACAATTATCAGCTTATCATCTTGATTCCAGACCTGCAATGCCATTATATCACTCACTTATTTGTGCTTGTGGGGGTTGAGCTCTGGCTCTTTGGTCCCGCCTCTCAACCGTCAATCAACAGGTGTACAGGTTCCTGAGCCTATTGGGCTCTATCATATCTACACTTGAAACTGTGTATGGAGTCAGCCTCCACCACATCACTTCCTAATGCATTCCATTTGTCAACCACTCTGACACTAAAAAAATTCTTTCTAATATCTCTGTGGCTCATTTGGGCACTCAGTTTCCACCTGTGTCCCCTAGTGCATGTGCCCCTTGTGTTAAATACCCTGTCTTTATCTACCCTATCAATTCCCTTGAGAATATTGAATGTGGTGATCATGTCCCCCCTAACTCTTCTGTCTTCCAGCAAAGTGAGGTTTAATTCCCGTAGTCTCTCCTTGTAGCTCATACCTCTCAGCTCGGGTACTAGTGTGGTGGCAAACCTTTGAACCTTTTCCAGTTTAGTCTTATCCTAGACTAGATATGGACTCCATGCTGGGGCTGCATACTCCAGGATTGGCCTGACATGTGTGGTATACAAAGCTCTGAATGATTCCTTACACAAGTTTCTAAATGCCGTTCTTATGTTGGCCAGCCTGGCATATGCCGCTGATGTTATCCTCTTGATATGGGCTGCAGGGGACAGGTCTGACGTGATATCAACCCCCAAGTCTTTTTCTCTCTCTGACTCTTGAAGAATTTCATCTCCCAGATGATACCTTGTATCTGGCCTCCTGCTCCCTACATCTATCTTCATTACATTACATTTGCTTGGGTTAAACTCTAACAACCATTTGTTTGACCATTCCTTTAGCTTGTCTAGGTCTTCTTGAAGCCTCAAGCAGTCCTCCTCTGTCTTAATCCTTCTCATAATTTTGGCATCGTCCGCAAACATTGAGAGAAATGAATCTATACCCTCTGGGAGATCATTTACATATATCAGAAAGAGGATAGGACCGAGTACAGAGCCCTGTGGGACTCTACTGGTGACTTCACGCCAATCTGAGATCTCACCCCTCACTGTAACTCTCTGCTTTCTATTGCTTAGGTACTCCCTTATCCACTGGAGCACCTTACCAGCTACACCTGCTTGTCTCTCCAGCTTGTGTACCAGCCTCTTATGCGGTAATGTGTCAAAGGCTTTCCGACAATCCAAGAAAATGCAGTTTGCCCAGCCTTCTCTTTCTTGCTTAATCTTTGTCACCTGGTCATAGAATTCTATTAAGCCAGTCAGGCAAGATTTACCCTCCCTGAACCCATGTTGGCGATTTGTCACGAAGTCCCTTCTCTCCAGATGTGTTACTAGGTTTTTTCTCACGATCTTCTCCATCACCTTGCATGGTATACAAGTCAAGGACACTGGCCTGTAGTTCAGTGCCTCTTGCCTGTCGCCCTTTTTGTATACTGGGACCACATTCGCCGTTTTCATATTTCTGGTAGGTCTCCCATCTCCAGTTTCCTATTATACACTATGGAGAGTGGCAAGCAAAGTGCCTCTGCACACTCTTTCAATACCCATGGCGAGATCCTGTCTGGACCAACAGCCTTTCTAACACCCAGATCCAGCAGGTGTCTCTTGACCTCCTCTCTCGAAATTTCAAACCCTTCCAAGGTCACCTGGTTTACTTCCCCCTCTCCTAGCACAGTGACCTCTCCTTGTTCTATTGTGAAGACCTCCTGGAACCTATTGTTGAGTTTTTCACACACACCTGTGTGTGTGTGTGTGTGTGTGTGTGTGTACTCACCTAATTGTGCTTGCGGGGGTTGAGCTCTGGCTCTTTGGTCCCGCCTCTCAACTGTCAATCAACAGGTGTACAGATTTCCTACTGGGCTCTATCATATCTACATTTGAAACGTGTGTGTGTGTGTGTGTGTGTGTGTGTGTGTGTGTGTGTGTGTGTGTGTGTGTGTGTGTGTGTGTGTGTGTGTGTGTGTGTGTGTGTGTGTGTGTGTGTGTGTGTGTGTGTGTGTGTGTGTGTGTGTACGTACATGTGAGAAGAAGAGGCACACGTGTACAGTATTTGTATTTTAAAGATTTTAAAATAATAGTTTTGACATTTATGGCTTCTGTGGGTAGGGGATTCCATGGGTTTATAACTGTGGGTGAAAAAGCATCTCCTGTTTTCAGTCGTACATTGAGGCTATTTGAGCTTGAAACTGTTACATCTGTTTGTGTTACATCTGACCTTCTGAAGAAATTGTCCAGATCAACATCCTCCAAATTGTTCCGTATTTTAAAAGTTTTGGTGAGATCCACTCTGTCATATCTCGTTTGCAGTGTTGTTAACCTTGAGACCCTCAACAGTTCCTGCTACGAGTTTATTTTTTATCCTGATGTTGTGTTCATTTATGAATGCTTTGGTGGAAAAATATTGATTTGCTTTAAGTGGCTAAGCTAATGTGGTTAATATCAACAGAGTCAAAGGCGGAGAAGAGTACCAATCATTGTCTCGTGGCGGGGCTGGAGACCATCGAGCAGTACACATCATATCTCCACCACACCGAGAATACCTGTGCGAAAATAGTAAGTCTCTCGGGCTGGATCGATAACTTGTTGAAGCTTTAGTGGCCTTTTGTCATATGGAGAACACAACACACTTGGAATGGTGCATTTATGAGTCATTATTATATCATTCATTAGAATAGCAAAGTATTGTTCTTTAAACTTTATATTTTTATCTATCATGCTGCAACAAGGACTTATGTCTGATCTCATTTCCAGAATATGTTGTAATTGTACACTTCCAAGAACTTGTATTGTAAAGTAGAACCCTTGATGTGTTGAGGACTAAGCAGAACACCATACCACTCATGATGTTTCTCTCTTTAATGATCACATTTTCCTTCTCCCCCCCCCCCCCCATAGAATCACTGTCCATTGTATCTCTATCATCTATCATCTTTGACTGGTTTTTCTTGTGTTACACTGAATACTTGCAACTGTTTATTTACCTGAATTTATCTGTGTTTACTTGAGGACCACCGTCCTTAGTGACCTTGACAAGGGAAGGAAGCCAGCAGCTTATCAAAGTTCCCTCCATTGTTCCTGAGGATATTTTCCATACGATTTTTGAACTAAACTACATACTGTAATATCTTGGCATTTATGGGTTTGGTGTGCAGGTAGTTTTATGGGTTTATATCGCTATGGATGAAAAATATATCTTGTGTTCTGTCCTACATTGCAGCTTGTTGAGCTTGAAGCCCTGTGCCGAACTTTAACCCTGGGCCTCCTTAAACTGTGCCGAAATGTCTAGCCCTCTCAGAAATCAAACCCATTACCAATTGGTTGAGAGCCACTTGCACTAATCACTGCACTATGTAATCGTAATCATTCGTACATTATTTTTGTCACGTTTGCAGGTACAGTTTGGGGGCAAGCCACCTGCTCCTGGTGATGGAAAAAAGTTTGTGTGTCTAGACAAGAGGTTCAACATTAAGCCCGGTAACTGTACCGTCTTCTCCTTTGGTATCAACAATGAGTGGTCCTTTGAGGATGATTTTGCCAAATTTGGTTGCAAGGTGAGAGACAATGACATGGACATTTCCCAAGTAGCACAAGTGATTCTTCAGTTTACTTATTAAGTGCATGCTTGATATGCTTGCTAATTTGAGTCATAGGCTTCATATATAAATTTATTTGATACATCGGTACTATATTATATTCTAGTTATTTTAACATGTGATGGATCTTACACTTAATGTAATTGTTCTACATTGAATTAACTTATCTTGTGGTCCTTGTATAAATCCTGAAATTTAATCAAGAATTTACTATCCAAACAGACTTTACCTGAATTTAGCTCTAGTGGCATTGACGAAGACAGGAAGCTGAAAGCTTGTCAAAGATCGCCCCATTTGCCATAATGAATAGTCCTCAAATTATGCTACAATGTACCTGTGGATAACCCTTAAATTTACTTCAATGTACTATACCTACTAATCCTGTTAAATTTCTTCAAAATCCTTCTTATACACTGTATTTTTTATACTTTCTTACAATGCAATTTTTATACTTTATTACAATGTATTTTTATGCTTTTTTACAATGTATCTGTAAACATTTTTTCTGTGGGGAGCCTCGTCGACTCCCCGGAGCTTTGCAAGGCTGATATGCTAATGTCAGACTTTGGCATCAGTCATGTGTATGGAATTCTAGGGCCCACCGGGGACCACGACCAGAACCTGGCCCCTTCAGAGAGACAAGGGGAGCAATGGCCTATAGAAACCCCTGTGTGGTTGGAAGCATTCTGTGTCTGCCATCGACCGGGTCAAGCATCCAGAAAGGTAAGCATTCCAAAACAAACCCCTATTCTGGTGAAAATTGCAACCTAAAGCCGAACTGGTGGATAGAACTCTTCAACAGAAAACAAGCAAACTAGTATAACGTCACACGTCACCGCGCCGCTGTCTGCACAGCTCCCCCCTCCCAGGGAGGGGAAAGGGGGAGCCCCAGACCTCTCACGCCGACTATCCACCCATCAGTTCTTCGGCTGATGCTATAGGCACCGGTTGTGTGCTCCGGCTCCATTAGTTGTTTCAGCACTGTACCTAGAGTGTGGTGTCTGTCTTCTAAGTGGTGCGTGAGCCGGGAGTGAGTCCAGTACTCGGGCTGCATGCGCCTAGGGTTCCCTTTCCTAGGTGCCCTGTAAGTACTGCCTTTGGGGCTTGGGGCCACCTTCCACAAGTTCCTTGGGTTCTGCCCCTGCTAGACCGTTTACTGCTTGGTTTTCGGCCGCTCTTTGTGTGCTCGGGTGTTCTGTCTCCCTTGTTTGCCTTAGGGTAAGGGGCAGTTTTGCACTGGTGGGGCGCAGGGTGCTGAGCAGCCTGTTTTCACCTATATGGCAGCCGGCTCTGTTCTGCCTAGGTACGCTGTCCTCTTGCGGGGTTTTGTTTTTATTTTTGTTTATCTACCTGGTGGGGGGTCTGCCTTCATTCTTACCCCCTGTGTCCCTTGTGTTCTGAGTATTATTCTGGTGATTTTCCCTAGCTGCTAGGTCCCCGTGAGTGTACACGTCCTGGGGATTCAGTTCGTAGAAAGTTGATTGTGCTTGGTTGGTCGGGCTGGGGGTGCGTCGTGTTTTGTGTTCAGTGGCGGCCCTTCGCTGTTATTTGTGTGCCGAGGCCTCTATGTCCGGGGCGCGGTTTGAGTTGATCCGGTTCCGTTCTTCCCTGTTCGCGGGTGAAGGTGTCTCGGGTTGTCCGCCGTGTTATTGCGGCTAGCCTGCCTGTGTTCTTTCCCCATGCCCATGACGTTCATGGCTTCGCTGCTCTTGCTGCCGTCTGGGCGGCGTGTCCTTGCTGTCATTCGGGCACGGATCTTTTGGTGTTCATACAGGGACCTTGCTGCATGTTGTATCGTGTTGTTCCCGGGCCCTTTCGGGGCTGTCACCTTGGGTTGGCGTTTGCTGCCGGTTGTCTCACTTCCGTTGAGGGGTGCGTGGTGTCTGCCTCCCGGTTCCGTCCCTTTGACCTTCCTCTGTGGGTAGTTAGCTCCGGGAAGCCGACGGGGCTCTCCCCAGAAAACCAGCGTTGAATGTATACCTGAAACCCTGTAACCTACCTTACCCTTCTATTGTCAACCAATGAAAGAGCGCTGTTTGTCGACATAATTGTATTTGGCTTTTTTCATCTATGGTTTTCATTCTACTCATTATGCTCTCTTGTCCATGCCCGAAATGCTTTGCGTAATAGTGGCTTTAGGCATTGTATGTACTAGCTTACCTATAAGTCAAACAATCCTTGTAAATATTTATTGTATGTATGTACGTGTATTGAATGTAATGAAACGCCATTTTCTGGATGAGACCCGGAGGTTCCCCGGCAACCCTCTCTCCCTCAGAACTGATGGGTGGATAGCTGGCGTGAGAGGTCTGGGGCTTCCTCTTCCCGGGGAGGGGGGGGAGCTACGCAGACAGCTGCGCGGTGACGTGTGACATCATACTAGTTTGCTTGTTTTCTGTTGGGGAGTTCTATCCACTAGTTTAGCTTTTGGTAGCAATTTTCACCAGAATAGGGGTTTGTTTTGAAATGCTTACCTTTCTGGATGCTTGACCTGGTCGATGGCAGACATAAAATGCTTCCAACCACACAGGGGTTTCTATAGGCCATTGCTCCCCTTGCCTCTCTGAGGGGGCCAGGTTCTGGCCATGGTCCCCAGTAGGCCCTAGAACTCCATACACATGACTGATGCCAAAGTTTGACATTAGCATATCAGCCTGGTAAAGCTCCGGGGAGCCTCCGGTTCTCATCCAGAAAATGGCGTTTCATTACATTCAACGCTGGTTTTTTAATTTTACTAGAACTTGCTTTCATAAAATTATGTTAGATTAAAGGATCCACTCGAAATGCTGTGCGTGCTAGTGGCTTTACAAGAATGTAAAACTTCAAGGTTCTCTACTCTCATAAACCCAATGTACCTTCTTGTATATAAATAAATAAATAAATAAATAAATGATTTTCTGGGGGAAAGCCTCTTTGGCTCCCCGGAGCTATCCAGGCTGATACGTATATCATTAGACTGCGAATGGAGTTATAGGCTTACCGGGGACCACGAGCCAGAACCTGGCCCCCTCAGAGAGGCACGAGGAGCAATTAATGGCCTATAGAAACGCACATGGGATTTGAAGCATTCTATGTCTGCCATCGACCGGGACAGGCACCCAGAAAGGTAAGCGCCTGAAAACAAACCCCTATTCTGGTTAAAACGACTAAAATAGACAAAAGAGTGGACAGAACTTCCCAAATGAAAACGAGCAAATGAGCATGACGTCACATGAGCTGTGCTGCATGTCTGGGCAGCTCACATATTCCCCCCTTGTTGTGGGAGCACTCGTGGCTTCTTGGCTTCGGTCTTGTGTTTCTTTTTCCCTCCTGGAGCCGTCTTCAAATTGACTTGCGGAGGATGTAGAGGCGCTTGGGGCCGTTCCCGGGTCTGGTACCTTGGTCTCAGCTGCTCATGCAGCATTTGCACTGCTGAAGCTGTTTGCGCCAATCTTGTGGGATGTGGTGTCGTGTTTTTTCGCTACATGTCTCGCGTGTCGGCAGGTTGTGCTCTCCTCATCCTTGGATTCTGCTTGCACCCTGACTCTTAGGTTTTCTTCGCCCTTTTGTCCCTTGCTGTTAACGGACTCTGCGGTTGAGCGGTATTTACAGGTGGCTTCTTCTAGCTATCATCCGATGTCCAACTTGTTGGTTCTCCGGGGGTCCCAGGGAGGGTTCCTCCTGGAAGGGTCGTGCCATGGCTCAGGGTTCCGATCATCAGGGTCGACAACAGGTGCATGATTCGGAGCCAGCGTTGCCTTCGGTTCCCTCTGTGTCTGGTCTGCACAGTGATCGCTCTGTGCACAGGTCGGGTTCTCGTAAGGGGCATTGGCCCTTTTGCAGTTCGCCCCCACTGTGCACCCAAGTGGGTGCACTTGGGCGTGGTCGAAATGACGACGTCTCTTGGGTGGGTTTCCCGCCTGTTTCCAGTACTGAAACAGGACTGTGCGGACCTGCAGTTCATTCTGGACTTGTCCCGTCTGTACCCTTGGGTTTTTTGCTCCTCCTTTCGGGTGACCACTCTGTCCCAGGTCCGGCTTCTGTTGGAGCCAGGTTCTTGGATGGTATCCCTGGACCTCAAAGATGTGTATTGGCACATATCTGGCTTCATCCAAGGTTCAGGGACTGGCTCAGGTTTGTTGTGGGGCTTCTCGGATACCTCTTTCGTTGTCTCCCATTCAGGTTGAACTTGGCTCCTCGCGTGTTCACATGCCTCACCCAGGTCTTGGTGGCCCCTATGTGACTTTTAGGTGTTTGGGTGTTCTCGATGACTGGCTGGTCTGGGCTCCCAGTTGGTCTGCGTATCTACTCGCCGGAGATTTGTTTCCTTCCCAGCTCGCCGGGTTCGGGTTCCTGGTGAACTGGCGGAGGTCCCATCTAGTCCCCTCCCAGGTTCGGACTTGGCTGGGTCTTGTGTGGGACTCTCGAACCGCTTTCTTGTCTCACCCTCTGAAGTCTCCTTTGGCTATGGTCCTGCATGTGCTTGTTTCATGGGGGGCTCCAGGGTCACGCAGCGGTTGCTTGAGGGATTGTGCGGGAGCTTGAACTTTGTGATGATGGTCTACCCGCCAGGTCGGGTTTAGCTTCGTTGGCTGGTCTGGTTCCTTTGGGTATGTCTCTTCCGCGCCTCTCTCTCGCAATCACTGGGTTCGACCCCCAGGGGCCTTGTGTCGGTTGCTGTGTCACTAGCTTCCTCTCTTGGCTGGGGCTTAGTGACCAGTGCTCACTAGTCCAGCCAAGGGCGGTGGGGTCCGTCTTTGTCGGCCCACTGCACGGTGCGGAGTTCGTGGTGGTGTGGTATTCGCTTTGGAGGGTTCGGGTCACCCCCGGATTGACAATCCGGCTCCATTCAGATTGCTTCACAGTGGTTCATTGCCTGAACTGAGGGTGTTCGATGCGATCCTTGGCTCTTTGGGGCTGGTCGCTTCAGGTGATTCGTCTGCTGAGTTCTAGGGGTTTGGCTCTTCTAGCCGTTCATGTCTGGAAGGGGGGGGTCCAACGTTATGGCGGCGGACGGCCTGTCCCAGTTCATTCCCCTATCCATGGAATGAACTGTCGACACTGACTCATTCAGTTGGCTCTGGCAGACGTTCGGGTGCCCGGAGGTGGAGCTCTTCGCGTTGGTGTGGTTGAGGTGTCTTCCGGTATATGTGATGCCCTTTCCAGACCGCGAGGTCATTGGGGTCGATACCTTTCGGCAGGACTGGTCAAGGTAGGGGTTCCTGTACCTCTTTCCCCTGGTTCAGCTGTTGCTGCAGGTCCTGGCTCGCTTGGAGACTTACCAGGGACGGGTAGTCCTCTTGGCCCCATGGTGGTCAGTCCAGCCTTGGTTTCAGGCACTGCCTGCTCGGTGTCCAGACCCGAAGGTTTTCCTGCTGCTCCTCCTTTTTCAGCAGATTGGTCTGGTCCTCTACGAGACTGGTTTGATCTTTTCCTCGAGTCTAAGCATTTGGTCTTTCTGTCTTGAGTCTATCACCATCTGTATGGTGATCAGGTGTTTTTTTTATGGTGTCCCACCTGCTGGCTTCATCTCGGCAGCAGTATAAAGTTTTGTGGTGGTCCTTCCGGTTCCTTTTGTCTTTCCGTAATTGTACTATACTTCTCTTTAGGTTAAGGTTGTTTTGTCCTTTCTCTTGTGGCAGTTTCAGGACCGTTATCTTATACCGAATATTGTCACCTCGTATTGTGCGGCATTGGCGGAGCCGCTGCAGCTTGCTTTCGGTATTGATGTTGCTTCTGCACCGTTTCCCAAACTGTCTCGATTGTTGTTTCGCCTCCGGCCTGCTCATGCGCCCTCTGAGCCATCCTGGTCTTTGGACAGTGTGCTCTCTTTCCTCTCTTCTTGGTTTGTTGTGGTCCCTTTGGTTCAGGATTGTTTTTCAAAGGCTCTTTTCTTGTTGGCCTCTCAGTCGGGTTGGAAGCTTCATGCTCTCCTCCGGCGCAGGTGTTTCTGCTCTTTTGGTCGAGGTGATAGGTTCATTTGTTTGCAGCCGTTTCCTTCTTTTCTGGCGAAAAATGAGACTGCTGCTTTCCGGAGAGGTCCTGGGTTGTTGATGCTTGGTTGATCAGTCCGGGGGTGCATCATGTGTTGTGTCCGGTTGTGGCTATCTGTCATTATTTGTGCGCCACGACCTCAGTGACCGGGGACGTGCTTTGGATTGATCTTGTTTCTCTTCTTTCCTGTTCTAGGGTTCAGGTCTCTCTCGTCGTCCGCAGGATTATTTGGTCTAGCCAGCCTGCGGTCTATATCCGTGCCCGTGATGTTCGTAAGTTTGCTGCGTTGGCTGCCGTCTTTGTTAAAATGTCCTGGGCTGATATTCTGGCGCGGGGTTTATGACGGTCGAGCAGGGTCCTACCTGCACACTACCTCATTAATGTTCCTGGGTCTAGCCAGGCCTGTGTCACTTTGGGTCAGCAGTTGCAGCCTGTTGCCCGTAGTCTTGTCTTCGAGTTGAGGTGCAAGCACCGACTGCCTCCCAGGTAAGACCCTCTAGTGTTTGTCTTTGGTGATGTGGCTCTGGGGAGTCAAAGGGGCTGCCCCAGAAAACCAGCATTAAATGTAATGAAACGCCATATTCTGGGGAAGACCAGGAAGCTCCCCGGCAACTACCCCCCTTCCCCTGGTGGGCGTTTTTTTCGTGTGTTATGACATTCAGCCTCGAACTGGAGGGTGGATCGCCTGTGTGGTGGATCTGGGGCTCCCCCTTCCTCCTCCCTTGGAAGGGGGGAGCTGTGCAGCAGACATGTGGCAGGCTCATGTGACGTCATGCTTGTTTATTCGTTTTTATTTGGGAAGTTCTGTCCACTCGTTTGTCTATTTTAATTGTTTTAACCAGAATTGGGGTTTGTTTTGAGGCACTTATCTTTCTGGGTGCATGGCCCGGTTGATGGCAGACATAGAATGCTCTAAATGCCATGTGCATTTCTATAGGCCATTAATTGCTCCTCGTGCCTCTCTGAGGGGGCCAGGTTCTGGCTCGTGGTCCCCGGTAGGCCTAGAATGCCATTCACACTGATGCCAAAGTCTAATTATATACATATCAGCTTTCTGAAGATGAAGTCTCCATTCACTTAAATCTATTTGGGTAATATTTATTAATGCTAATACTTAATAATATATCAGAAGTAAGCTAATACATATGGATTGTTAAATAAAATTAGAAAATGATATATAGTTTTTATTATTGGAAAGTTAGCCAAACATGTTTGGGTTGACAGGTGTACGCATTCGACCCCACCATGGGTAAGGAGGATCACCAACGGTCCGCCAACGTTCGCTTCCAGGCCGTGGGCATCGCTAACTACAAGGGTACCAAGAAGATTGGTATGGGTAACAACTGGGACATGCGAAGGGTGAGTCTCTTGTCTTAATAATTGTATTAATGCTGTAGAAATATTCATGATTAAACTTATATTTAAGGCAGGATAAACATGCAGTAGTGTACTAATAAATTGGTCATTAAATCCAAATGGTATTTAATAATAATAATAATAATAATAATAATAATAATAATAATTTAGGAAAAGTACATACATAGTTGCAGAGTTACAGTACAAACATTCTTTTTGATTTAAAGATAGAGTTAGTACATACAATACCTAAAGCCACTAGTACGCATAGCGTTTCGGGCATTTGAGGATCTACTGTTAAGGTTTCAAAATTAAAATCATCAGGTAAATTATAAAATAGTCAATATTATAAATATTCTAATGAGGTGTTCCCATCGCCCACACAAATGTTTAATGGAGGCGAAGAGAATGAATTAAGGAATATACACATAATGTGTGACATAATCAGGAAGAGCATTGACAAACTAAAAGACTCAGAAGATTCAGGTGTGAATGTTATTCAATCCAAAGTCATAAAGGACCTAGAAGAGGAACTTATGCCGACTCCTGAAACTGCTTTTCAGAAAATCTCTGGACCAAGGGATAGCTCCCATAGATTGGAAATATGAAAATATTACCCCTATTTTCAAAAAAGGCAGAAAGAGCTCGGCAGAAAACTACCATTCGATCAGCTTGTTATCACACATCTGCAAGCTCATGCCCTGCAAACACACAATGTAACTGTCCCTATTTTCCGCTTGTTACAACTTGTAATAAAGTTGATACAGTACATCTTGTTATAACGTAACATCTTGTTATAATGTTATAACGTTTTTATGATGTATTAGAATGTTGTTACAACTCGTTATATTGGTTGTTACAACTTGTTATATTGGTTGTTACAACTTGTTAGGAGGTGTTAAAACTTGTTCAAACATTGAAGCAACATCATAATTTCATTGTGTGTTTGGCAGGTGGATAGCTTGCAGATCTCCATGAAAGGGAAGGAATCTGAAGGGATGGAATCATTCACCATCTCACAGTAAACAATCTTGTAAAATAAATGCAACATGGCTTTGTTAAAATATATCCTACCTTGCAAACCTCTTCAAATTTTTTAAAACAGTAACCAGCTATTGAGACAAAGGACTTTCAGTGGCTATAGTGTACATAGCTTTTTGCTACAGCTTTTGATAAGGTACAACGTAAAAGACTAGCAAGGAAATTACAGTCACTTGTAATAAATGGTAGAATACTAAAATGGCTAAAACAATGGTTAAAACAAAAAATACATTGAGTCATGTTTAATTGAAATGAATCCGACTGGAGAAATGTGGTGAGTGGGGGTACCATTGGAGTCTATTTTGGGGTCAACCATTTTTGGTATATGCATTAATGACAGATGAGAATATTACAAACCACATTATCAAATTTGCAGATGACACAAAGATCTTTGGTAAAGTGGGAAATGAAAATGATATTGAAGCCTTACAAAGAGATCTACTGAACTCCACAAATGGTCAGAAGACTGACAAATGCTTTTTAATATATAAAAATGCAAGACTTTGCATGTGGGGCATAACAACCCACTTCACATCTACCAAATTAATAACATTACCCTGCAACAGATTGATGAAGAAAAGGACATTGGAGTCAAAATCCACCATTCACTGAAAGTTGTAAAACAGGTTGGAACATTAGAAAAAAAAGGAATAATTAAGCATACTTTTAACTTTAAGGGAAAAAAAGGTAGTGATTCAAATATGTTTTCTGGTGTGCCCCTACTTTGATTATTGTATCCAAGCATGGAGACCTCATCTTCAGAAGGACATAGCTGCTGTAGAGGAACTACAACACCAGGTGACAAGGGTTAGAATACTGGGCAGCAGCATCAACTACATGATTCACTGTCCACTGCAGGGTATCCAGTGATAACTGGAGACCTGTGATAGAATCCTGGGCAGAGTTGGTTGACTAGATATGATCTCTTCACTGTTCACTCCAGTGTGAATTGGCAGCTCATGTTCTGTAAAAACCTGTAGGGTTAGGTTTTAAAATGAGCTTAGTGAGCTTAATCTGAGCTTATTCTGCAGGGAATAGTCAGAGGACTTCTGTTCATGTACTCTCATGTTAAAAAACAAGTAGAGTATTTAGTGTAGTGTAGCATTACTTCCTCTGCCAGTTTCTTGGATGTTCCCTTGAACTAAGAGACAGTACTGCTTGGCTTGGTTCTCAGAACCTTTAACTCAAGCCTGATATGAACTTAGGATATAGTCTTATCAGGACTATAAAGAAAAGGTTAAGGAATACTAGAAAATCTTCCTCAAGTCATCATTCATATTTCCTTTCCTCAGGTGGATCGCTTCGAGAACTTGGTGAACCAGTTGGGACTCGCAGGTCAGGTGATCGAC